CCCCCAACTTTCCCCTGCCTTTTCAAAGAATAGTATCATAGTATTTCTATAACTCGCTAACCGATGATCTGTTCCCCCTTGTCACCCTCAATCTATAATTGTTACTGTTGACTATTTTGTGCAGCGAATGGGGTGATCCAGTCAACGACTGACCTCAAGTTCCTGTGTGAACCTTCAATAGAAGCCACTGTGACAGCCACGGATACCTACAACCCAGCCATAGGACCGCTGACGATCGACTACACTATTGACAGTAAGCATGTCTTTAAAGCATATCATACAGAAGAGTTGTCGCCGATGCCGTGGGTGTTCCAGGTTTTAAATGTTCTCGAAAAATTATGACCAAGCACCCCTGGTATGTTGTGAAAAAAATAGGGAATTTGGTACTTACTCTCTCACTCACTCACTTGCTCACTCACTTGCATGCTGCTTGCCTCCTAGACGCTCCGTTAGCTCAAGTGGAAGGTGACATACTGGGCTTTGGCAAGCTGGTGAGGTGCCATCATCATCATCATCATCATCATCATCATCATCATCATCATCATCATCATCATCATCATCATCATTATCATCATCCGTTGCCTTGCCAACTGGCGTGGGCGATCATGGACCTCCACTTCCCTCTGTCCTGCGTTGCAGCGATGGTGTCTGTTGTTCTTGCTTTTGCTTGGCAAATGCGGCTTTTAGTTTCGGTGTGACATCTCTCGTCTGATGATTTAAGGGTCTTTTAAAATGTTGTACTTGCTTGAGGGGGGTACCATTACTTTTGATATTGCAGATGACGTGTCATGCGTATCAGGTGGTTTGTTTATCTGAGGTGCCATACGTATCAGATATATCCAAACCACCTGATTGTTTTCCTCTGAATGTAGTGGAGGACAGATGTTGTTCCCATCATTTCTCTGATCCTGTTGTTTCTGATCATTTCCCATCTGGTTTTTCTGACGGCTCTCCTTAGACATCTCACCTCGCAGGTTGTTATCTCGCGTTCTGACTTTTGGTCAGCTTCCATGTCCAGCATTAGTAGGTCAAGGTGGGGATGAAGATACACTGATTTGTTTATGATGGTTCGAAATACCTCACATCGGTGTGTTTTGGGGGGGTTTTTTGGTGGTTTTTTTGGTGCTATTGGACATGGGCCTATGTGTCCGATACGTTCTTAAAGAATTTAAGACGTAGTTTACGACTTGACAAATTCTGAAATTATCAATGACCCCCGCTTCCAACCAAAAGGCAAGCCTACTCTTGACTTCTAATGTATCTACAGACGCTAACGAAGCGCCGAGTGTGACAAACCTGGACGTGACCATCGAAGTGGACGAGAACTCCGCGGTTGGGACAGTGGTGCACACGCTCGATGTTGTTGACGATGGAATCGGAACCATTATCAAATATATGACGTCAACATCAGATGCTGGTCTGGAGATGTTTGAGCTAGACGGTAAGGCTTTTGTTGTTGCTGTTGTTTTGTTGTTGTTGCTGTTGTTTTGTTGTTGTTGTTGTTGTTATTGTTGTTGTTGGTGGTGCTGCTTCTGATGTTGTTGCTGTTGTAATTGCGGTATTAATCTGATTGTGCACGGAGCTATATCCTGGTTTTCTCGCGTGACTTTTACCATTTTGCCAGCGAGCCTTGTCCATATTGCCCACCCACCCACCCCCCCTTCCCAAAAAAAGAAAAAGAAAACAAACAAAACTCAATTAAGATTACCTGGCCTCCTCCCAATAGGAAAACCCAAATAAAAAACAACAACGAGCTTATATCATTTATGCCAAGTAACAAAATAATATGTTATGCAAAATACAGCAAGATGATACCACATTATGTAACAAGTAACAAGTTGACACGTTACGTAACAAGTTACATGATGGCACATTCTTTATCTCGTGACGAAGAGACGCAATGCTGTGAACATCTTATGGACTGCGTGGTTTTAATTGTTTTAATTGTTTTGTGAAAAGATTCTTTGTTGTAAGTGTCTCTTCGTAAAGTTGCTATTGTAATGTTTTTTCCTGTCCTATATCTGTTTCAGACTTATACTCTTTAGTTTCAGTTACTTTCACGGCACAAGGTACTCTTCAGACCGATTCTGTGAAAGAAATTGAATAAAGCGTTATTCATTATTCGGCACTTCCGGACTTTTTGAAATTATAATTCGTCTGACTTGAATTCCACTACAAGCATTCTATACTCCTCTCTACGGTGGCGTTGGTAGCATTGTGGTGAAATTGCGGATTTGAGGGTTGGAGCTTTAGCTCGGTCCGACGTTGTGTCCTTAGGAAAGGCATTTTACACGAATTTCCCAACTGGCTCGGTCCTTTCGGAGATGGACGTTTACGTCGGACGTCTCGTCTCTTAAATAGTTTAACCCTATCCGTACGCCATGGGGTCATTTTGTACCCACGGGGTTGTATTCTTCACATTTTAGAATACTTCTAGTACGAAGATCTCTTTGAAACTTTCAGTATTTCTCAAAAAATCATTCTGACGGACTGCTATGCAAAGCGTACGGATAGGATTAACGAGTAAATTTCGTCTTTGAAAAGTGGTGGCACAGAGTTTCCCACGTCGTATGGATACGATAGTAAAACACGACGTACAGATAGGGTTAATTGTGCTAAACCTATACCGATTCACCATGTTTTCCTCTCAACAGGTGACGAGGTGAAGCTCCGCATTGAGCCTGACTATGAGCGTTCCGACACCCGCAGCGTTCGTCTTTATTTCGACCTCACTGACGGCTACTGTAACTCGGAGACCTACTCGCTCAATGTCAACATCAAAGACATCAATGAGCCGCCTGTATTCCGACAGCCAAGAAGAGAGATCAAGGTCTACGAGGGAGATGTAAGCTACACAAACCGCCTGCTAACCATTAACTTGTCGGATTTCACTCTCTGGCCTATTGATGGGGGATAGATTTCGTGGGCTTGTCTAAAATATTGTGATGTGCCCCCCCCCCCA